TGCGTCAATGTATTCATCCCTTATGCCCTTAGATAATGCAATATCCTTTGCTTATCATAAGGATGAGAATAAGATCATTTATTTTTTTAAACATGAAAATGGTGAAGATACAGAGTCGAGTACTATAAAGAAAAAAATAATATATTTGGATGATTAATTTTAGTAAATGTGGGTCTTAAACAACCATTTACAAAAGAACTTTTGTAAACAATTTAAAAATTACTATTACATGTGAATAGTATAAGACTTATTTAAGTCGTTGTATTGCTAATAAAATTTTTCTCAGTTTTATTTCTTAAGTTTTAAATTGATCGATCTTAAGATATTTATTTCTATTATTAGAAGAAAAGTATTGTTCACCAATTTTTTTACAATACCATATCTGGATAATTTTATTTTATTCATAATAATTTGCACAATTGTTCGCTATTATTTGGTGAATTTTATCCATGGATTCTTTTTTTATAAATGAAAATTTATTTTTATAAAATAAGTAATATAACCAATTTTATTAGTGGAAACAATTAAAATTTTAAAATTAGATAAAATTCTTAAAAAAAAAAATTGAAAAGTTTAAATTTAATAATATCATCTATCAAGTTTATAAAAATTACAAATATTTGCATTACCCAAAAAGAATTATCTATCAACAAGACAAAAATTTAATACTTTTATTAATCGACGTAAATGGAGAGTTACGCAATATTGATATAATTAACTTATTTAACTTATTTGACTTAACATTTTTAGAAATGATCGGCATAAAATCACGCAAACATCTCATTTTTCTATGGCAATTGTGGTACTGCGGCTAATGATTGACCGCTAATGGCGCTGTGCGACAATATTCGGAGAATAATACGCATAAATTACTTAAAAAGGAGTTACTTTTGTTACCGTCATCCTATCATTTTGAAACTTTTTGCCAATTATTTATATTTCAATATGTCTGATAATAAGAAAATGCAAGATACCAATACGAATGAATGTAATAATAGGATTGAAGAAATGATCATTACAATAACAAATATATCAGTAAATACTCAATATTTAAGCAATAAAAAATTTGATAATAATTCAGAATCACAAGGTGAATTATTTCAACTTAATCATCAATATTTTAACAAAATAAATTTAAAAGAAATTAATCCTATAACAATATCAAATGAACGAGAAAAAATTTCATTTGAAAAAGGTTTTGATATAATAGTTGATGAAATAAATGATTTAATTTTTAAATCATTTAATAAAGGAATTGATGTTAAATTATTAAAAAAACAAATTATTGACCATTTTAATAATTATAATACTAATTCAAAAGAAATTTATAATTGGTTATTAAATAATCAAAATAATTCAAATTCCATTTTTTTACTTGGATATTTTAATTATTTTGGAATTGAAACAAAAGAAAATAATGAGAAAGCATTTAATTTATTTATTGATGCATTAAAAAAAAATCATATGTTAGCACAATCTTATGTTGGTGAATGTTATCAATTTGGTTATGGTACTATAAAAAATGAAAAATTAGCTTTTGATTATTTAGAAAAATTTGCTTATGAAAATTTTGCATATGCACAATTAAGAATTGGTTATTTTTATGAAAATGGAATAGGTATTAAAAAAGATATAAAAAAGGCCTTTTATTGGTATGAAAAAGCTTCAAATAATGGAAATGTAATAGCTATGCATTATCTTGGTAATTGCTATAAGTATGGAAAAAAAGGTGTTAAAAAAGATTATAATAAAGCTTTTAAATTATTTAATCAATCAGCTATAGAAGGATATGCAAGTGGAATGACTTCATTAGGTTATTGTTATGATAACGGTATTGGAACTGAAGAAGATAAGCTAAAAGCATTTGAGTTATATCAACAATCAGCAAATTTAGGAAGTATTACATCACAATTTAATCTTGGTAATATGTATGAACATGGAGATGGAATTACAAAAGATATAGACAAAGCAATTTATTGGTATGAAAAATCTGCCAAACAAGGTTATCAGGAAGCAAAAAATAAATTGAAAAAACTTAAAAAATAATGTAATTTATATTAAATATATTAAATTCTATCTTTATTAAATTGTATACTCTGAAATATAATAAATAAAGGTCTTATTAAATTTAACAATCAATATTATTATAGCAAGTATTTTATGAAGATTTGAAATTTTTTTTTTTTTAAAAAATAATTGGTACTTATTTTTCAATACTACCATATGGAATAATTGCATGTGTGAAAGAAATGATTATGAAAGATAAATATTAATGCGATCCTTTTTAAAAAAATTGCTTAAAGCTTTATGGGAAAGAAATATCATCCGGAAACTATCTTAGATGTAATATTCGTTGGACGTAATTCTATGTAAGTTTACACAAGTTCACGTAATTTTTCATAAGAAATTCCTCCGTCGCAGGTCACGTCTAAAACATTTCCTGTTGGTCAAACTAACCCGCTAAAGTAATACTCATTGTTTTATTTAATTTCACATAAAATTAAATATCAGCAGCGGAGGATTTATTGACATTATTAATTATTATTGGCAAATGAATTAATGAATAATTATTAAATGATGAAACCCCATTCTGTAGTCTTTAAAAAAAAGTAATGATAAAATACCTATGGTTCCGCAAGAATTGAAATGAATTTAACTGGAAGCTGAAACTGGAAATTCGGGATCTAGAATTTAATTTACGTTATAAGTAGAGTAATCTATATAATTAAAAAATTTGGTAATATTTAGTTTACTCTCTGTATAAATAATTTAAATTATGTAACATGGAAATGCGTACTGTATGTCTGGCGCCGATCTATTCCATGTTTATTATAGTTAAAATAATTTGGTTGGCCTGTTGGGTCATGTGTACGTTCCCGATGGATATTTTATGTCTAAGAATAAAATATTGGTTTTTTCTTATCGATATTATTTCTTTTTCGGCTATTTTTTTCCTTTTATTCTATATTGATATTGCTTCCTAATTTTTTTTTTTTTTTTTTTCAAGATCCTCGATTCCTTTCTGCAGAGAAGCTACATCAAGAAAATTACCTACATAAGAATTTAATATTACTGGTTAGAAATGAGAAAGCAGAATATTTGATATTATCGTAGAAGAAAAATCAGCGTTCACTCACATTGACTAATTATGACTCACTTACCAGCAACGGATTTCTCTACGATAACGTGAATGTTTTGGGCAAGTGCACGTGGGGTAGCAAACAAGTCAGGCGGTAGCGCTACATGAAGAGATTAATCATTACTAGTTTACTTTGATCTAATTCATTCGTATATGTACTAGTTGTTTCTTCGTTTACACATTGTACAGTGTAGAAGTTTATGTATTTTCTTAGAAATTATATTAATTATATTGCTTCTACATTCCTGCCTAGTAATAAAAAGTAAAAATAAAAATAAAAAATATTGGCTGGATTTAGTGGATTGCAAGTTCCCTTTTGTTGTAGTTTCATTATGTTTGTTGTCCTTGGTAAATAATGGTTGATATAGTGTGAGGTGTATTATAATTTAAATTCTACAGGGTCGGGCTATGATTACTACTAAGTCAATTTGGTTACTTAGGATTAGTGCCTTGGATGTTATCTATTTTTAGTTTAGGACTAGTAATAGTATGGATATTAGTTATTAGACAATTATAGCTTCATCACCAAATGGCTGCGATGTGTTTAATGATATGGCAACCTGTTTAATTCATTAAAGTATCCCTAGTTATTATTTACAATATATATATAAATTAACTGAGAATTTTTTTAGTCCTAACAAGATTATTCTTTCAACTTGTTTAATAAATTCACGTATAACGAATGGAATAATCTGTCATGATTTTATAACGTTTATCAGTTTATGACATAAATTTACGATCAATATACGGTAGTAAATACATTTAATATTTGAATAAATTTATTAAAATTATTTAAATTACAAACTAAGAATTTTGTAAAACATTTACTACTCTAGTCTTATTAGTGTTTAAATAATCCAAGATAAAAAAATAAATAAATAAATGATAATAATTTAAAATATAAAAAATAAAATTGTTAAATGATTATTCAAAATCCATCTAAAGTTAAAAAAATGACAAATTATAAATTAATTATTTGCTTTATAAAGAAATCTTATTTATTCAAGAACTTACCATCAGGAATTTCCAGTTCATCTTGTTCTTTTGAATGAAAGTTTGGATTATTATATACTTCATCTTCATCTGTAAGAAATGAATAATTAAATTAAAAAATAATATAAAAATTAAATTAAATTAAAAATTCGCATACCATCAATATCACCAATATTTTGCCTTTTAGTTTTTTGTTGAATTATTTCTTTTTCATCATCTAAATTTTTAAATTAAAGTTTATACATTAAATAAATATATTGACAAAATAATTTTTACTTTTTTTTGCTTACCATCAATATCAATATCTTTCCTTTACATTTGTTGTTGAATAATTTCTTTTTCGTCGTATTATTTTTAAAATAAAAGTCATGTTATATAATAAATGAAACTGAAACGATGAATATTACTTATTTACTTACTATTTGAATTTTGCAAATTTATAAATTCTTTGGGTAATTTTTCACTATCACCTAAAATTAAGAACATAGAAATAGATTTTAATCTTTAATCTATTATTTCAAACAAATCACCTTTAAAAACATTTATTAATTATACTTGATAATTTCTTACTATACTGCTCATTTGATTTATTAAAGTCGTTAACTAAAATAAAAATTAATTATCAGTAGACATCATTACATGATAATTCGACGCTATAATGTTATTAAATACTTACTTTTGTTAGGAATGTTAAAATCATACAATTTACTATGAAACACTATTAACAGTAAAATAAAGTATTTAAAACTATATAATTATAGTAACCAAAAATTCTATATACGTTTATACCTTCTTGTTCTTCTATTATTATAATAAAAAGATAACATTAATAATGTATTTTAAAATAAATACATCCATTAATAAAATATTATACACTTATACCTTCTGTTGCATTTCTTGGTTCAGGTAGATTTCCAAAGTTGTGAATTTTACTTGTAAATAATCTGCTACTCGTATAATTTTCTTCTACTTTATTCATTTCTAAATTATCTATTTCTGATTTGAATAATTCATCTGACATATTTTGATAATCTAAATTAATTCTTAACATTCTATCCTCAAGTGCACAAATGTCAGGTCTTTTTAATGGATCAGCATCCCAACATTCTTTCATTAAATTTTTATATTCTAATGGAGTTCCTGGTACAATTTTTGGTCTTATACCATCAATAATATTATATACAAGAATATGTTCATCTTCATAATCCATAAATGGTGGTTGTCCAAATGAAATTTCCCACATAAGCATTGCAATACTATAAATATCAGATGCAAAAGTATATTTTCTTCCAATAATAACTTCGGGTGCTATGTAAGAAAGATTTCCATATATACTTGTTGAAGATTTATCAGCAGGTCCACAAAATCCAAGATCACTAATATACCAGGAATCATTTAATTGTGAATATAATATATTTCCAGAATGTAAATCTCTATGAATTGCTTCCTCAAAATGAATATAGTAAAGTGCGAGAATTATTTCAAAAGTAATATTAATTCTCTTTTTCCATGTAAGTTGATTATGATTTTGTTGTAAATATTTTCTTAAATCTATATCCATTTTATTCATTACAAGCATATAATTTCCATTTGATGGATTTTGTGTTAAACCATAACATCGAACAACATCTGCCCATTTATTACTTATAGTTAAATGTGATTTAGCCTAAAAGACAATAATTTGTAAAAATACTAGTGCTAATACAAAAATCACAATTTTATGAAATATAGAATACAATAATACAAACCTCTTCAAACCAACTTTGATTTGCACTTTTGACATTTTCTAATTTTTTTAATATTACTTTGCAATCTTCAAATCTTTTTAATTGTTTTTTTTCAAAATCCCATTCTTCATAATTTCCATTAATCCAGCCTGCTGAATAAATTTCTGAGAATCCACCTTTTGTTAAATATTTAATATTTTCTAAATTACTATATGGGATCCATTCAACAATCGTTTGTGGATTAAGTGATTCCATTTGACATTCCTGTATTAAATTATCAATATCATCATTCCCGGATGTCCAATTTGGAAAATTTTCTTGTAAATAATTTCGGACACAATATTCACAATATAATGTAGCTAAGCATTCTTGGTTACAATTTTCACAAATTCTTCTTGTACCATCATCATCCAAAATTTTATTTCGATCATAATTTTTAGTTAAATCTCTCATCGCTTCAGTTTTTTCATCATTTGTAAGAATTTTATCAGCAAGGACTGTTTGTTTTTGAAATTCAAATTGTTTGTGTATATCATTGTAAATATTAGTATCTGTTAATGTTGTTACTCTATTAAGTGTTGCATTAATTAACTCATATCGAAGAGTGGACATAATGCAATCAATAAGAAAGAAAGAAATAATTATTTTAAGTTCGTTACTCCGAGATAAATTAGTAAAATGCAAATTGTTGATCAAAACTTCATGTTGTGCCCACATAAATTTTGTAATCTTGAGGGCGTAGTATTTTACGCCTCATAACCAAAAAAAGAAAAATATTACTGTAACAAATTTGATTGTCATACTTAATGAATCCTTATTAATTTTCAAATAATTTTATAAGCAAAATTATTAATTTGTTATTATTTTTAAATATTATTTAAAAAAATCAATAAAAACATGATTGATGAAAAGTCAATTTAGTTATTTTCAATTGAATTTATTTTAAATAAACGACGTGGCGAATAATGAACATGAAAAATTATAAGAAACCATCCAATTTATTATTTCCGTCTACTAAAAAAGTCATATCTAAGAGAAGAATTTCTAGAATTATAATTATTTTTTTTTTTTTTTGATGTAATGATTGATCGTAAATATAGGTTTAAATAAAAATATATGGTTTAATAAGTTTGAATGAAAGAAATTATTACGTAATTTAGTGTAATAATAAATAAGGAATAGATCGGGCGCAAATATGTTACGGGTTTTCATACTATGGCACGGGTTTTTATGTTAAATTATTTATATGGAGACTATTCTAAACGGCAGACAAAATTTTTTAGTTATAAAAAATAAAGATACAACCATCAAAGTGTTAAATAAGAGAATAGTATTTTAACATAAAATAGTATCAAGGAAAAGGTTCTAAATCAAGAAAAAAATTTATTTTAAATTATTTCAATAATCATGATATAAATTTAAATTGAAATATATAATTGTTTAATAAAAAATCAAATGATGATTAATTTGGATTCAACACTTTATTATTATTTAGGTAGTATTCATTCAATTAAACCTTAAAAAAGCATTCGAATAATTTTTTATTACATCAGAAAAAAATCATTTACTATCCAGAAATATGTGGAATTCCATACTCCCTATATCCTACGTGGATCTACGTCGAAAATACCATGTGTTTCGTCACAGAGTATTTGGAAAATATTGGTACTATGCAATAGAGGGCCTCTACTTCATTGTACTTTTTTTGTATATAAGATCATTTCAAAAAAACAGTGTCAACAAATAAGCATCAATTATTTTAAACAATTAAATTTTCGGAATCATGAGTTTTGTAAATCCTAGAACGACATTTTAATTTATAAGAAAAAATATAAATATTCAGTTAACTTGATAATAATAAAAAATACTTGCAATACTTGAGGTTGAGGATGATTATAAAAATTGGTAAGACTTTTATTTATTATATCTTAGTATACAACTATAAAAAAAAATAATTTAGAGAATTTAATTGATTTAATTGATTTAAATTTTACGATTTTAATAATAAGAAAGAATTTATTATAAATTATTTATTTTTTTTTTTTGAAGTATTTCTAACCTATTTGTGCATATTCGTAATCTTATTTGGCAGATATTTCATCAGCAGCAATTAGATCGATGCTGTGGTACTATGATAAATACCTTTTTTCTCGATTTTTTTAATAAAATTTTTTTTTTGGCTATTTTTTTTTTAATATTTCTTTTTTCCTATTCTTTTACCTTTTAGGTTTTGATCGGTTAGTGCTGAGATATAATCGGAATAAATGTTGTGTTATTGAATAAATATATTTTGTTTGATTTTTTTTTAGTTTAAATAAATAACTAATAAGATTTCTTAAATCATCCAGCCGAAAAAATACTTATTTTAATATTGTTTTTTTTTTATTATTAATTATCATTAATTATTAATGCTAACAAAAATAACTCATAACAGTTTGTTTTTTTATTATTCGTTTTTTATTGTTTTTATTTATTTATAATTAACTCAAAAGTTCAATTATTATATTGATTTAAATTTATTAATCCTATTGTAACGTAACAGGTTACAGCTAGTCATTAACGAAAGTCTTAATTGGAGATAGCGCTTATCCTTTAACACCATTCTTTATTAAACCTTTTAGTAAACCAAATAAAGAGTTAATCGTATTTTTTCATCACGCAGAATTATTGCTGAACATTCATTTGGTAGGATAAAAAACAAGTTTGGCGGAATTAAAGAAATGTCTGTTAAAATTTTAACTGCTGTAAATATGATAGTTTGCTCTATTATTTTTAGAATCACACGATGAAATATGAATAGATTGTGAAAACAATAACAATAATTAAAAAGACAAATGATAATAAAGAAAGCTTGAAAAGGAGCGGGAGAAATTGGATAATGAGCAAATTGTTCACAACCTTTTAATCAGATATAGTTTTATGATTGAAAAGAATAAAATTAAATTATAACTGTAAATTTATAAATTGAAAATAATGATTTTTATTATTCAAATTATATTTCTTTTACAAAAACTTCCTTTGTTAAAATAAGTAATATTTATCAATTTATTGTAAGGTATCTACTCTAAAATTAAATTTTATTGTACTTCTTGATTAAATTTATCAATAAAATGATTAAATTGTCTACAACAATTAGTTATTACATTGTGATAACTGTAATTCTATTTTTTTAATGATTACTCTTTTACAAATTACCATTTTTTCTTTTCAACTTCAAAATTTTCTACTTGCAATTAAAACTCTTTATTCATTCTTTCACGTTCCATTTCATTTTCTCGCGATCTAATGAAGTTTTTGTTCAGATATTCTGAGCTTTGCTTGAATAATATTATTCATAACATTAACCAAAGATTTGATAGAATTTTTTTACTTTCTTGTATCTCTTTTGACTTAATTTCCTTTTTCTACTTTATCACTATCACTGATATATCTTGTAGAGACATTTGAAATATAAGAAGGATTAATGCTTTATGATACCTGTAATTCTATTCATTTTGTCATACCAATTCTTTTAGACCTATTTTATCATTTTGTTTTTTCACTTTTTCATATGTTCCAATAAACGTTTAATCCTGCCTTTAATACTTTTGCTTGATTTTGTCTTAATAACTTCAGTAGAAATTAAATTGTACATAATGGATTTTTACCTTGCTGAAGTTTTTCGTAATTGTCTTCTAAATATGACGATAAAATGTCAATTTCTTCATCACTCCATCTTTTTACAACTTGAGATTCAACATTTTTTCTCTTCCATCATACGTTTTTTCATTTTCTTTAATATTCTAAAAGCAATTAATTATGCATCACTATAATGACGTTAATATGAACTAACTGTTGAATCTTTCTCATTAAAACTTTAAGTTTCCGTGTCCAAAATGTCAACTGATATAGTTTTTCATGAAATGAATTATCAATTCCACTATTTTTATGTAAAGGATATTCAAATTCTTTGTTAGTTTCATTGTTTTAATTTTCTGGATATTGAAAGTTTAGTGTAAAAGTATCCGTTCTATAACTCATTTTAAAGCCTGAGGACATTTGGTTTTGTGGAGGAATAGGTACAGGATTTAGAACTAATTGTGTTAAAGGTTTTGGAGCTAAAGGTTTTGAACTAACTGTTGAATCTTTCTCATTAAAACTTTAAGTTTCCGTGTCCAAAATGTCAACTGATATAGTTTTTCATGAAATGAATTATCAATTCCACTATTTTTATGTAAAGGATATTCAAATTCTTTGTTAGTTTCATTGTTTTAATTTTCTGGATATTGAAAGTTTAGTGTAAAAGTATCCGTTCTATAACTCATTTTAAAGCCTGAGGACATTTGGTTTTGTGGAGGAATAGGTACAGGATTTAGAACTAATTGTGTTAAAGGTTTTGGAGCTAAAGGTTTTGGGCCAAATGTTCTAGTTTTGAAGTACTTGGTTTTGTCATTTTATTCGTTCTTGGATTTTGTTTAGTTATTTTGGAACTTTGAATTTGCTGAGAAGGCATGTTAAAAAAAAATACGTAAAAGAAATGCACAAAAAAAAAGTTAAATATGCTCCTTTTTTCTTTTATTCGCGTTCAACCTAAAAACCCAAAAAATATTTAGGCCTAATTCGGTTGTGTGAATTGATCGGTATCAAATCACGTGTATATGACATTTCTGCGGCAAGTTATACTGCGGTACTGCGGCTAATGATTGTCAGCTTTTTTGTTTGGTGATACTATTAACGCTGTGCGACAATATTCGGTTAAAAGGAGCTTGATTTCGTTACCGTACAAATTTTACAACTTTGATATTTCATTCCTATCATTTTAAAACTTTTTGCCAATTATTATATTTCAATATGCCTGATAATAAGAAAATGCAATATACCGAAAATACGAATGAATGGAATAATTTGATTGAAGAAAAAATCATTACAACAACAGATATAACAGAAAATGTCCAATTCTTAAGTAATAAAAAATTTAATGATAATTCAGAATCACAACAAGAAGAGTCATCTCAACTTATCCGATGTTATAACAAAATAAATTTAAAAGAAATTAATCCTATAACAATATCAAATGAACGAGAGAAACTTTTATTTGAAAAAGGTTTTGACATAATAATTGATGAAATAAATGATTTAATTTTTAAATCATTTAATGAAGGAATTGGTATTGAATCTAAATTATTAAAAAAAAAAATTATTGAACATTTTAATAATTATAATACTAATTCAAAAGAAATTTATGATTGGTTAATAAATAATCAAAATAATTCAAATTCCATTTTTTTACTTGGATATTTAAAACGCTTTGGAATTGGAACAAGTAAAAATAATAAGAAAGCATTTAATTTATTTATCAGTGCATCAGAAAAACATCATCTTTTAGCACAAACTTTTGCTGGTGAATGTTATCAATGTGGAAATGGAACTATAAAAAATGAAAAATTAGCTTTTGATTATTTAGAAAAACTTGCTAATAAAAATTTTACACATGGACAATTAAGAATTGGTTATTTTTATGAAAATGGAATAGGTATTAAAAAAGATACAAAAAAGGCTTTTCATTATTATGAAAAAGCTGCAAATAATGGGAACAAAATGGCTATATATAATCTTGGTCTTTTTTATAAAGATGGAATTAGTGTTGAAAAAAATTATAATAAAGCTATTGAATTGTTTAGGCAATCAGCTGAAGAAGGATGTTCAGGTGGAATAACAATGTTAGGACATTGTTATAATTATGGCATTGGAACTAAAATTGATAAGCAAAAAGCATTTGAATTATATCAAAAGTCAGCAAATTTAGGAAGTAGTGAGGCACAATATAAGCTTGGTATTATGTATGAATTTGGAATTATAAAGGATATTGGCAAAGCAATTTATTGGTATAAAAAATCTGCCAAACAAGGATTTAAGAAAGCACAAAATAAATTAAAATCTTTTAATTTTTATAATTTGTAAAATGTAAATTTACATTATTTTTTTTTATTTAAAATAGTAAATACATTACTCTAAATAAATATTTTATTAAATTTATCAATCATTTTATTCTTTTAATTTGAAACTAGCAGTTGCCCGTTGCTTCGCACCTGGAGTAGTAGTATTACTATATAATATTAAATTTTTAGTCACAATTAGAAGCTCACTTTGATTAATAATTAGATTATGAGAGTAATAAAATATAAATTAATTTAAATAAAATAATATGCAGGTAAATATTGTTATGTATCTATATAATTAAAAACAAACTAACTAAAAAAAAATTTGTTGATACTAAAAAAAAAATTTTTACACGAATTTATTAATCAGAAACAATATCATTGACTAAAAAAAATCTCATCGAACATCAAAAAATTTGTAGGACATAGTTCTAATTTGATTATAGTTTTGATCCGATCTAAACTAAAAAAGAATAATAATATTCTTTGGGTTAACAAAAATTTTGATAAATTCCGATTAAAAAAACCCAATAAAAATATAATAAAAAAAGAATAAGAAAAAATTTTGGTTAAAGTTAGCCGAAGAGATAAAAAAATTAATAAAAAAGATTAAAAAGGTAGTTTCAGTTTTTACCAACTACCCTAGCGTTTACCCCAAAAAAAAGCACTGGTGGCCGGCATTATGCACTGTCACGTGAACAGTGCGGTGACAGATAAGGTGTGACGAATTTATCAACTCGAAAAAAACTAAGTCCCTCATGTATTGCTAAGTTTTATACATACGTAAAATTTTAAATTTAATTAGTATTACGGATGTGATGATTTTTTACATGGTTGCGTGACCAGTGCTTTTTTTGGGGTAACGCTAGGCTAGATGTAAAATCCGAAAATAAAAAAAAATTATCTAATAGAAATGGTTAGTTGTGGTAGCTAAGAGAGTGGTAATAACCGCAATTAATATACTCTTTTTTGTTAGTATTAATTTATTAGAATAAAAAAAATCCAGTTAAAATTTTAATTAACCGGAAATGTATCAGTTTAATATGAGCCGCCATACTGATCAAAAGTCTGGGGTAAACCCCCTGGATTCATCTGGGATGAAAATGGCATTGATGCCATCAACTTAGAATTACCAATAAGATACATTCCTTCCTTAGCACGTGACAATAATACGTTACTTTTATTTTTGCTTTTAAGAAATCCGATAGAACTATATTTACCAGAACAATTACGAACTAATGAAATGATAACTATTTTTGCTTCTTCACCCTGAAAGTTATCAACAGTTCTAAAAGTAACTCGTTGATTTAATGGTTTTGAAGTATTATTTTGATATTTTTTTCTCTCTCATATCAGCAATTTTCTCTGCATCTCTCTCATCAATTTCAACGAAAAATGATTTAGATAAAGCATCCTTGATTTTGACCAATTGTCCTGATTAAGAAGTAAGCACTGCTATATCTTCAGGTCCAGTATATCCATTTTTAACAAAATATTTAACAATTTCTACAACCATTTTAACTTCATGCATATTTACATGAGATTGTGTCCCTGAATCACCAAAACTATCTTCTGGGTGATTATGATCAATAAAATATACATTATGCTGAGCTCCACATATATTTGGATATTTAGCAGTGTTTTCTCCATCTACTAAATCTTCATAAATTGTACGTGTGATTAATTCAGAAGTTTCATTTCTCATACGTCTCTGAGTTAAAAGTCGAGTTCTTTCAATTGTAATTGCAATATTACCATCAACAAATCTTTCAAATAATGATTTATCCAATTGATAATTTTCTCCTATTTGTGATTCCATACTAAGAGAATATGTTGAACACTAGGTCGAAGCTGATTGTGATCCCCTATTAATATTAAATGTTGAGTAGAAGGAGTTAACGCACTAAGAATATGAGCTTATAAAACTTCACCAGCTTCTTCGCAAATAATGATTTTAGGATCAATATATTTAATTAAATTTTGTAATTTAGCAGCACCACTTGTTGTCATACCAATAACATCACTATTTAATAATATTTGACGGCGTTCCATCATAAATATCATTCAACTCTTGATGACATCCTTCATGCTTAGTTTGTAAATTCAATAATCTTTCTTCATCAAGTTTTGCACGCCAATAATCATGAAGTTTTTGTATTTCTTTTTTTGACATTTTCCAAATTGAACAATCCTCTAATAATTCATTCAAAGAACGATCAGTGTTTGGTTATTCATAATTTTTTGCAAATTGTAATTCTTCATTGATAAATTCACCACCATCTGAATCCGTTTCTTCTTTATTTAACTAATGATCTTTTCTCTCTTCGATCTTTTTAATATCTTCCCAATTAACCATTTTTCAAATTCGTGCATCTTCCTTCCTTGAGCCTTAATAAATTTATTCTGAGATTCTTCATTTTTTTCTTTATTACTATCTTGAAAACCTTTATCATCAGTTTCTTCATCATCAGTTTCTTCGTCATCAATTTCTTCATCATCAAATTCTTCATCACAACTCTCTTGAAGATCTTCAGTTTCAGAATCTTCATCAATTTCTTCAATAATATTTGCTCCCAAGACCCAACTAGGTAAATCAATATGAGTTATATTACTAAATTTATTATAAAAATCTCTGAGTATCCTTTAGATATTCAGATACGTCATTCCATATTATGCGACTTTTATAATATGTTTTTATATCCCGAACTTCTTCTTCAATATTTTCTAATTATATAGGGATGTCACTATTTTTAGGTTTAACTTTACCTAGCATAAAATTTTTAATTTTTTCGGATTTTGTTCGAGTACCCAATCTCACTATACTTTTTGTTATATTTTTATCAAGTAAATGCTATAAATCATAAAAAGAAAAAAATGCGTATTAAATTAGATGAAATAAAATGAATAAAATTTTTAATGATAAATAAGTATAAACTACCTCCAAGAACTGGTCAAGAGCATGATTAGTAAAACAAATGGTGAGATAGGACCAATATTTGCTCGATTTAGTGCTCCGCAAAATTCGGGTCTAATCCGGATAATTCAATCTGAGTGAATTTTAAATCGGGTCGGTACTAACAATTTTAATAACCCGTGACCCGCATGACCCGACCCGTCGGGTCGGGTCATTCATTTCCTTGACTCGAGTTTTGACCCGAATTAGACCCGGATGATCATTAAAATCACTGATCACATATCGATTACACGTTAATATTGATTACGTTATATAATTTTGTTAGATGAATGAGGTAGTATATCCTCACTTAGCGAAAATTGCTAAAGACACCTTGCAATTTTGGGTATGTTATTATTTTAATTATTAACATTACATTAACTAATAAGTTGATTTTGATGATTAATAAAGCAACCAGCATTCCAGTAGTTTCCAGTGGAACCGATTTGATAGCTGCAAAAAGATGTAGTCTTAAAGCAGATACAATTAGAGCATGCATGTGTTTAAAGTCCTGGCAGATATAAAGTATAGTCAAATTTCTGTTAAAGCAAGTGATATAATTTCGATTTTATAGTTCAAATATAAAGCAATAAATAAACAGAAATTGAAGATATCTTTAAATTCGTGCTTAGCTTTAGTTTTAATAACAAAAAGTTGTGTGACCTTTATGATCATCTTGTAGATCAATTACCTTGCGTTATTGAAAAAATTATATTTGAAAAAATATTTTTGATATATTACTAAGCATACAGTATATTATCCAATGAAAATTTCGGGTCTAACCCGGGTTATT